TACTTTCAGTGAAACCAGGGTTGTACATAGGCACAAGATACAGCTCAGAGCAAAATGGCAAGATCATCACAGCACTTCCCCCGCTTAGGGAAGACACGTGTTCCAGTCCTACTCAGGCAGACCTTTGCAGCGTGGCTTGGTGCCCAAACCACTGGCTTACAGGATGCTCTCATGGAGCTCCTGCACTCATCAAAAATAACTGCATATTCACTGGAATAGGAACATCTTCCATAAGGGAGGGGAATGCTATATACCATTAACCTCTAACGTCAGTGTCTCCAATCTGTGATCCACTCTAATCATCTGCCATGGGACTTCACTATATCAAGTCATTGACTCCAGCATTTCCAGTTACAGTTAAAACAGTATTCATGAGGGAGAATTCACCGAGTTGTTGTAATAGTTCACTAAGTTTACTGTTCTTTTATCATGACTACATGTTTGACTACATTTCTATTTGGGTCTTTAACTTCAGGCAATGCTATCTATAACACGAGATTCTCACGTACCTGCTTAACGCGATTGAAATCATACTAGAAAAAAATCTGAGCTAGTAACCATATATCTTGATACATGGTATTTGTAATGTAAAAAATAGTAAGTTCTTAATCACAAAAAGGTGACAACCTGACCCTGTTATTTTAGTAAACTTCAAAAATTGTCCATTTGTCAGTGCATTGTTTTCTTGGTGACTAATCCACATAATCATGTAATGCTCTGATTAATTTTGCTATACCATTTTCCATCACAGTAAGTTTGGTCTATCAGATTGATCCCATCAGATGCTGTCAGCCAGGCTTTTGGGGAGGGGGGATTCAGGGGGTAGAGGTCCCTATCTTTAGCACCACCACCACCACATACTTCTTTGCATTGTTCTAGTGATGTGCTTCAGTTTGACCTCTGAGGAGACGGTGTTCAAATTAAAACCAGTGGAGTTTGAACTTACATGCTGATAGGAAGGTATGAAGGTGCAAGGTAAAATAATTTACTCCAAGAGCCAGCAGGACTGGGTCATACCAAGATAATCAGCAAACAGTTGGGCATAAGATATTGGAGGTACAGGAATGTACATGAAGGCACATAGCATAGAAATGTGAATTCTTGCTGTTTGAAATGTGGTTTCCCAAAAAGCACAACAGACTGCAGACTGGAACAACGCAGGACACCAAAAGAGAAGAGCAACATGTGAAGAGCATAAGAAAGAGAAGACAAAGGACAAGGGACTAGGAAGGAGCTACTGTTGATGCACGTGCTAGTACAGCAAAATGGAGCACGGACACAAAAGCAGCTAGTCTATCACTGAAGGCACACATGTCCTCTGGCTCAGTTAGTCCTTGCTAATGGTTATGTGGTGGTCCTACCACCAGTCTGCTCACCTCTGTCCCTCCTGATTATGGCACTCGCCACCATTACTTAAACATCAGGCAAAGAGGGAGGTAAGCATGGATGGGGATACAGCAATAGCTGCTACAGTTATTGCAATCTCTCTTCTAGTCAACTGCCCATCTGAGCATGATTTAGGCATAGATGCAAGAGGAGAAAAACAGTCATTAGCACCTCCCCTCAATGGAAGGATAAGAGATAAAAGAAACATGTGAAGGATGAAAGAGCTAACAAAATCCAGCTCTCTACCCAAACCTTTATTAACTCTCTCAGCAGCAAACAAGCCCTCTTCTAGGCTTTTCCTGAAACTAGCTTACATTTTGCTATGCTTTAACAATTCCAAGCTAGTTCCTGTCCCTTGACATAGTATCTAAAAATTTGCACTCCAAACAGCAATTTCTGTAATAATAACAATACTTATATTTCATTATCTAACCTCGTGCTATTCATTCATGAGGATTAGTGCTTAATTAATTAACAACACTTAGCATTTCCACTTAGCACTTTACCTCTTCAAAGCATTGTACAGACAATATCTAATTAAGGGCAGAGCTAGGCAGACACTTCACATCAGGACTTCCCTTTGGCAGCTCTGCATCCAAGACTTGCTCACATGGTGTAGCATGAATTCAAGTTGAAAACCCTATTGACTTCATCAGGAATCAGGTAATGCCCTGGCTATCAAGTGACTATCTTTGCAAATTCCTTTTCTTTTCCTGTTGCTTCTGGTTGCTTACTATTCACCCAGGGATCTAACTATTGGCTAATGTGATGAGTGATAATGTGAACCTTGTACTGGTGTTATCTACAAACCCGTCATTCTTCTGTTAGTGAAAACCTTATTCTCAGTCACCTGGTTGAACTGCTTTTGGATAGAAAATGTGTTAACCACAAAACAGATTACAAAATGTCAAGCTAGAGTTTTTAAGGGAGATGGTGCTTTCAATCCATCAGTCAAATGCCTGTTATGAAAGTGCCTTTCTTGTAAGCACCCCAGGGTGCTACACAACATCAATAGACAATATAAACACAGAGCTTTTATGGTTCACTTTACAATTGGACATTGACTCTGAACCTGTGAAACAGAAAGGGATTGAATTTCATGACCAAAGAGGATAATGTGCACAGGATTAAGTAGACAACACTGGTAGAAGCAGGAAAGCAATAAAGCATTGGATGCTGATAGAGAGATTAAATTTACAAATAAGAAACCAAAGGAATAAAACAATTCTGAGTAAACTCTCATAAACCAGCAGTAGCACTCAATGCTTCATATCAATCTGGTATTTTTTTCAGAGAATCAAACATGCTGGTGGGTTTATTCAAAGCCCACTGATTGACCGGGCCCCGACTATGGGAAATGAACAAAGAGAGCTCTAAATATGTAATATCTCCAGCCAAGAGAATTATCCAGACAGTATGGAAAGAAACTTCTGCTGAAGTCAAATTGGAAGAAAAAGAAAACATTCACGACAGTTCAAGAACTCTTCTAGAGTCTCAGAGGATGTCTTCACTGGGCAGTGGCTGGCAGTGTAGCAGCCTGGGACTGCTGCTGCTCAAACCTGCTCCAGAAGAAAGCAAGTGATCCAATACAGCGATGCGGCTTCCAGCTCTGAGTGGTGCTGTGGTGTGTCACATGCACATCACAGCTCACATCAGCTAGGTCAAACAGCTTTCTCAGGAAGCCCCTCTTGCCAGATGAGCCACAGCTTGGTAGATATTAGAAATGTAAATTGTTTGGTTCTTTGAAAACTGACTGTATTGAACAGAAGCTGACCTAACCTCTTTGGCACTGAATTCTTCCACAAGGATAACTGTACTGCTAACTGCAGTGTCTTTGTGCCCAAAATATGCTGTGTTAGTGTTACTGCTAAATTCTAAAATCCCAGGAGATGAATAAAAACCAGGCCTTATTATCCCTTTATATTTCATTTAAGCTGCAGATGGATGAGACCCTTATTGCCATGTTCAACTTCAAGCTGAGGGTCAGATACTCATCCTAGACTTTTCTGGACACAGATGTTTGGAATCAGTACCTGGCTTTCATGTTTCCCCCAGTCCCTACAAATTCTTTTCCCCTAACTCAGCTTCAACTTCAACTCTCCATTATTCCCTTGCCACCAGTTGCCACTGTCCAGGACTCCCTTATCTCAGATACCAGACAGCCTAGCCAGCCCCAGCCAGCTAACACCTGAGCTCTCCATCACTTGGTTATCCTGCAGCCCTTTCTAACATTTACCACCTAGGACCCATCCCAGACCCATTCCAGCCTGCCCGTGACCACTCCCCTGGACCACTTCTGCATTGGTTAAGGCCAGGTCCACTGATGTATATGGTTGCATGCAAATTAGGTAAATCATGCACCTTTCTTATAATGAGTTTCCTAAAATGTAACACTCAAGACAAAACCGTCAGCTGTGGTCACTGTTGATCAGGAAAAGATACCTGTTAATTAGCATGCACATTGGATCAGGCCATTAATAAATGCATTGTGAAGCTACTGTGGAAGGTGATTCAGATTATTATCTAGGTAACTGTGCTTCTGTTTCCAGCACAAGGCTGTCACATGAACCTTTCTGATCACTTTTGTATTTACATTTGCTGTGCATCTGTCCTAGCATCTCCAAGCCCCGATGTCTTGGAGGAACACACGCTGAGATACTTCCTGACTGGGGTCAGCTTACAGTACTGGAACTCTGCTGGGTGCAGCTCAAGATGTGAACCAAACGCAGGCATAGAAACAGAGTTAACACAAAAACCTGGTATTTGGAAGGCAGTTCTCTACTCTGGTGTATGACAAAAATAACTGTTTAAATGACTTATATAATTAGGATTTTACCTCTCATTCTCCTGTTTTACTCAGCCTGTACAATGAAACAGGTTGGTCTGTTTAGTCTGTCCCACAGTTCTCACTCATGCTATCATTACCCTATATTCATACAGTTCTATGGGGTGTTGGGGCTTCAAAGCTTCACAGGACTGTGTATTCGCTTCTGCTGTAAGAGGTCACAGGGACATGTCCTTAGAGTAGTCAGCAACAGATCCATGGCGGTCATGAATGTAAGTTCCAGCATGTATTTCCTCCCTGCTTCCAGCCATCAGTGTCTAATGTCATTGGGACAATTTATACTTTTTGGCTATCACAACCTCTTACAGCAATGAATTTCATGAATGATCTTGATGGCATTAAGTCATACGCATGCTTCCCCTGTTGCTTCATCAGAAGAAAGTGTTCCTGCTGCTGCACCACCATGGTGCATAGTATTAGCCTTGCGATTTAGCCGGCACAGGGAGTGCTAGATGGATTGTTTGATGACTTGCAGTACCAGACATCCTAATCTCCTTGCCTAGTAAAATTGCTCAGCAGTAGAGTTAATATTGAAGTGCAGGCCAGCTGAAGCTACCTTTAAGCTGCAGGGTGTGCTCCAGAGCAAATATGTTTGACACAGTTACACTAGGTATATATTTTACTTATAATTTTATGACTATGCCTATTCTAAGCACAGCCTTTCAATTAATTGACTCTTAGGACTTGATAGAGACAATAGTGAAATATTTCTGACAACAGCATTTTCACAAATTGCATTACCCATCCCACCCCAGCTCAGATTTCTCACCTTTGTGGTCCACAACTTGACCGTCCAGTCAAATGATGATGTGACAAAGAGATGGGAAAAGTCAATTGGACCCACTGCCATGTGGCAATTGATTCCTGTGACGGGTCCTTGGTGACCTTCAAAAACTTCACCAATGCCAGCTTTACTGCAGGAAGAAGGGACATTTGCATTCAGAGAGTGATTTAACATCTGTTGATTTAACATAGTTTTTCTTTACTTTTAGGTTCCTCTTTCCTTTTAAAGTTCCATTTAATCTGTAAATCTCTCCCCTTTCAGTAAGGCCTTTGCCTGCAGAGATTTACTGCTGTGGGCACAATTAATGCTCAGGATCCAGCACAGGGAGACTTTCTCTTACTTCTGAAGACTTACTTGCCTTACTTACTTTTACATACACTGTCTACTACTGTAGCTTGAAAGAAATTTTATGTATAATTATAAAATAATTCTAAATTATAATTATACTATAGCTTATGCCTCTAAGCCATTATCACAAGAAATAATAATTAAAATAAAAATGCAAATACATTAATGACTTTTCATGAGCAATTCTTTTTCTCTTAAATATCTAAAGTAACTTTCCACAGCAGTCAATCAAGTCACTAGGAAGTAAATCCTTTTTCACAAGAAGTGAAGGAACTGTTCCTGTAATCAGGCATCATACAGTCATTACTTTGAACAAGGGGAGATGTGCATTTCATCGGCCTGAGGCTAGAATAGCTATTAGGAAGGAAAAATACAATGCTGTGTAAGAGAGAATATGCGCAGTTTTCTTCTTTCTGGAAGCAAATGACGCCAGATCAGTTGTCAGTGCTGTCTCACAGTGTGTACAGAAAGGGGAATCATGAAATTGCCCTTTTAGTCATATTATAGAAAAATTGCCAGTGAAAGAAAATACATTAAAAATAGCCACAGCTCTGACGAGGTTGCCAGCCCTGTGCGAGTATGAATACAGCGTACCCAGAGAGATGAGGACCTGCTCTGAAGGAAATTGCTCCCTCGTATTGCTAGCGTGATGTCCCCTCACCTCTCCCGTTGACCATGACAGTGTGGCCTCACTTAGGCTCCTCTGCCAGACCTCGCAGCATGTGCTGGAGCAGCGGCTGAGTTCTGCAGTGCCTCTGCAATGCTGGGTATGAAGCACACCTCTTATTTTATCCCCATCTGTCTGCCATGGAGTCGGTGGGATGAGGGGAGTTGTGGAGCACAGAGAACACCTTGTGTGTCTGCTGTGCTTTGACACACCTTTCTCCAGAATAACATATGGCTCTCCACTGTGCTGGGCTGAGAGACACAGGAGCCTCTGGAAATAAAATGGCGATGACAGCAAAAAGCTCTAGGAAAGACAGGCAGGAGCAGAAAAGGCGTGCGATTGCTGATGGTCAACAGAAGGTTTGCTAAAAAGGTGGGCTAACAAGAGGATCTGACACCTTCCTCCTCTTGTAAGGAACAAACCAGGCATGTCTGAAAGATCAGAAGTGAGAACTGCCCTTGGGCATGCTTCATTTATCCTAGCAGCCTAAGACTAATTCAAACCATCAGCTGACACACAGCCTATCAGTATAACAACACAATTTTGCAATACTGTCGGTGGTCAGGCTAAAATAAAAATATTTTAAAATAAAAATTGTTTATGTAAAAAGAGTTCATTAAAAAAGTTAACAAAATATATGTAAAATGTATTTATACAACGTTAGAAATTTGTAATAGAAGCCTCACAATCTTAAACCAGTGTATCGATGTCTATTTGATCAACAGAAACACAGAATATGATAAAATATGAATTCAGAGAATATTGCAAATGATTGAAGTGTTGGGGTGAGCTTCAAGTCTATCAGTGAAAAAAGTTTCTTCTTTGCAATAGTCTTTCAAGCATCCCAGAGGATGAAACTACTACCAGATGCTACCTGAGCATGCTAGCGTCCTGCAGATTTACAGGGTGAAAAATAAGGAACTTGCAGTATTAAAGTACAGCCTGGGTTATGTGAGGAAGGGATATGACCACCATGTGTGAGAGAGCACAGGGTACCCGTCCTGGGAGTGGGTCAGCCAGATCTTGTGTACCCGTGTGGCACACTGTGGCTATGTCTGTGTTTGTTAGCAAATAAACCAGGCGGCAGCCCAGGCTGAGGGGAAACAGCGTGGCATGGGTCCTGGCTGCACAACAAAACCTTCTCACCCTCCTGGAGAGGGTGGGCATGTCCAAACTGTGCCCAGACTGCCCACCGAGAGCGGGGGCCAGCAGGACTCAATCTCTAGCCTGGCTGCACAGATGCAGCCGGCAGTGCTGCACGCCAAGACCTGGCGCTGGATGGCCGTGCACTGGGACATGCATGCATGTGTGCCCGTGGTGGCTTTTCTCTGATACATGCCTGTGGAGACCGAAGATGGTAAAAAATAAAGCAGATTACCATCTCTTATGGGTGGTTTAGGTCTGCGACAAAACCATCTCCTAGGGCCTGATTCGACCTGCCCAGACATAGACGCCTACAGCTCAGCTAGCTGCCTAGACCTCTGTCTCACCGTCTCACCTCATGGGTGACAAAGTGGCATTTCTGAGGTCCCGTTCATCTCTTCTTCATGCAGATGTCTGAAAAAGGTAAAGGAAATCAAACCCTAAGAGCAGTCGTTGCTCCCCACCAGCTATGCAGGGAGCCTGCATACAGCCCAGTATAACAGGCTGTAGCACAGATGCTCAAAGTTGGGCGACTTCTGTCCTAGCCATGTGAAGTAGAACAGTACAGACATTGTTGATCCAAGAGAAAATACATGAAACACTCTCCACACACACTTGGCTACCGCACGCCAACACAGGTACACAATGTTATTTAAGTACAAAATGCTGAACATCACCTTCCATGACGACAGGCTGTGTAGACTGTTCCCTCTTCACTGCCAACAACAAAGTTATTGACATCTCCAGTTGGGAAAGCCATTCCTGTAACGGCCACCGGTTTGGACTTATTGTACACCAGCTCCATGCTCTCCTACCAAAACAGGTCTTCATTATTATTCTGCAGTCATCCTTTTGTTTGGCTGTTTTGCTTTTTTTTTTCCGAATAAATTTCTAAATGTTACACAGAGTAGCAGGAGGGGAAGAAGAAATCATTTGACTCAGCCACAAGACTTTGGTTTCTACATAGGACATTGCTAGAAAATGCAGTGTCACAAACTAGGATGCACTGCTCCTGCCATCCCCGCCGCTGTCTGTCACACATTTGAGAGCAGCTGGAAGGCATTGGCCTTTGCTACATCATCTTAAATCAGGCAGAGAGGACAGGTGAGAACTTAAAATCTAATGGTGCAGAAACTAAAGATAATACCTTAATGGTTACACTTGCCAGCCCCAGGTTCTAATAAAACATGCAACACCCTTCTATTTACAAACATTTTTCAAATCAATTGTTCATCAGGAAACACATGTAATATCGTGTGCAGCTGAGGCATTTATCAGACTCTGCCATTCGTCTCTTAGCGGAACAAAATTTAAAAGTTGTGGTCCTGTCACCATCACCACTCTAAGCATTGCTTTTCAGGGATTTTCTGAGGTAACCATAAAATCTCCCTCTAGATTCCACCATTAAGCTACAAACCAGCAAGGACATTTTCTTTTTCCATTTGGTAGCTATATTTCAAAGTAAATCAACATGCCCAGTTTTGCTATTGCAAGTACAACCAGTATGGGCAGTTTGTGGCCATTGCAAGATGCGTACACTTTGAGCAGATTTTGCACAACTTTTTGGTTGTTCAGCCGAAATGGTGTAACCCAAGAATCCACAAAGGGGATGAGTGATTTAGCAATTTTCATTTTTGGCTATTTAAGTGGGTATGTTTTCTATGTTTAAAATGTCTAAACTGCTATTTTTCTAGGGCCAAAGCCTGTAGCGTTTTTCTCAGAAGGGCTTTTTGCTGTAGCTAAAGAAAGTGGGCGTCCCTGTGAGAGGAGAGGGCTACAAATCCATAGAGAAATACTTTTGCTTGGTTTGCAAATTTATTTGAAATACATGTGGTTCTCCTAAAAAGGCAAAACAAGACCTGGAAAATGGATTGGCAGAGCACCTGTGGACTATATATTTCTGTGAAAATCTTCTGGGGTGAGATCATCATTTAGTGTCTCTGTGGAGACACTGCCAGATACTGTGGTGGACTTTCTCCTCCCAGCGCCTACATCACAGCTGTACACGAGTGTTCTGGATCTGTGTCTTCGGAAAGTTTCAGGCTGACACACATCAGCAACACTCTACTCCTCCTAATTTAAAGCTGTGGCATGTAGCTTGACACCAAGTCCTGTGCCTTTCTTTTCTAGATCACCATGAGCTATGCACCAGACTTCAGCGTAATGTGGGGTGTGTTCTCATCCTTGTTGAAAGCCAGTTTTGAAGCAGGGAAATTCCATCCGAGTGATGAAGTACTGGAACTGAGAACTCTGCTTCAAAATGTAGTATTCCAGTAAGTGAATACATAAGAGTGGGATTTATCTTCTTGACGTTTCAGTGTGAAACTGGGGAAGGGATTCAGGTGCCTAAGCATAGATGTCTGGGCCATTTTAGATTCCTCCACTTCTATTCTAGAAGAGTATTGGTTTCTCACTGTCCCAGGACACAACTACCAGACCCATACTGTTGCCTTAGAGGAGCATGAACAACATGATCTAACTTTGAAGTTAGGGAAGTACTTTGAGTAGGGGAGTAGATGGGATGACTTCCAGAAGCCCCATCCATCCTAAGATTTGACAGTTCTGTACCCCGGGGTGGATATCTGAAATGGTATTTCACACTGGGATGGGATGAGTCGTCCTCCAGAAGTGCCCAGTCTCTCTCTACATTAACTGGGAGGGAACTCAAATTGCTAGCTTAGACGTGAGACAGACCTAGCTTTTAGATGGCTAAGGTTGGGATAGAAGAGTCCCACCTCTTGTGTCAACACTGAAAAGCAAATAATTCCATAGTAATTGCACATTAATGCATGATTAATGGACGATTTATGGAATCATTAAGAGGAGTTTCTATGCAGCACTTTGAAGCAAGACCAGATCCCATGATGCTTAGTAAAAATGATACTAAATTTTTTTTCCTAAGAAATTATGTATAAAAAATGAGCGATGCATTGGAATAGAAAATGTACTACTCCAGAAGATAACACTTAGATGCTTTCCATAGACCTTTTTCAGCATCAGATTCTTTGTTTAGTTTCCATTATTATAATCACTAGTGGTTTGGACAATTTTCCTGGGTTTCCTTTCATTTCTGATACAAATGAGAGGAGGCGGAGGAGGGGAAGACAATAGTAGCAAACATTCCAGAGGGGGAAATTAGTTCTAAAACTTTTGATTTGCATTGTTTGTTCCTTCGGCTACTGAAGACAGGCAGCAAAGTAAGCTTTCTGACTGTGTGCCTTGGAAACCCGTAGTGCTTAGAGTGTGTTCAGCAGCAATGCAATCTAGTCCATATTTGTTAAACAATGCTGTAGAGTAAGTACAATTTATACCACAGGCGACTTCTGTAATTACTGTGCTTTAAAATGGATTATTTCATTTTCACTTGAAACTGACCTATGTATTAACGTATTACAATAATTACATGATTTGTGGTAAAGGAAATGGGTTTTGGCTCTTAGCAGAGACTGCTGGAAGCAAGCTGTACTCTTTCAAGTGCATCCATTGGTTTTAGTTTGTATAGGACGTGAGGTTTTGGCTTTTAGGAGCTCTGTTCCATTAAGCAGGCATCCTGCTCTACCGAAGGTGCTTTTTTGCCTGTATAGGTGAAAACAAACCCACCTGTGGAGTTGAGAGCATGTCCAGGCTCCAGGAGCACATTTTGCCATCCGTAGAGACGGTAATGAGATTGTGCGCATTCTGTGTTCCAACTACATTCACACAATACACAGGGTGCTGAAAACACATTAACACTGGAAATCAGAGAGCTGTTCTCACATCTTGAAGAACAAATTTCTAATGTCTCATATGTTATTTTAAAGAATGATTAAGTAGTCACATAATGCCTGGAAAATACAGGACTCCGCTTTTGCCAGATAGGAATTGTTGGGTTTTTTTATTTTATTTAAAATTTAAGAGGTACGTTATAGAGGTGGAAATGTTTTCAAAGTTTCATTTTCCTCATAATAAAACAACCCAGCTGAGTAATGCTGTGAAAATACTGAATTATGTGGATGAGATTTCACCCATGGGGACATGTGTCATGCTACTGATGGCTTTTGACACTGAAAATAACTGGCAGGAAGAGGCAAATTGTCCAAATGGAAGCAAAATGAAAACTTTATTAAAGAAAACAGCTGCATAAAACTTGAACTTTTCCAGAATTTGGCTTGCATGCTAAATATTTGCAAATGTACTCATTTTTACAGTTGAAAAACACGAACTAGGCCATCAGCGTACTCCGGCATTGGCCAATATACCTTTCTGAATCCGTCATTATAAATGTGGAGTGACTAAATTTAGGGTGTTACACCTGGTTCACCATAGCATAGTCATTCTATGGAGGCTGAATTCCACTTAGTATGCAATAATGAAACTTGGCCTATTCCTTTTCCAAGGAACCTGGCAACATTTTGAGCCTAAAGCGTCATCTGATATCTGATGGTGACATATGAGGGATGGTTCAAGTTCAGCAATCTCCAGATTGAAAAATCAGACTGAACAATAAGATTTAATTTCCTTTGACCAGTGCAAGTGCTACTTCTGAATTAAGGGTAAGACATATACACAAGTCAAGCAAAGAAAAACTTTTTCTCTGCCTCTTTTGCTGATGAATAAAGAGCTGTGTCTCCAGGAAGAAAAAATACTTTTCACTACTACTTTCCTTATTTAGAGAAAATTAGGACCAACTTACAAGAGATCCCGATAGAACTTCTAAGCCATCTCCATGTAGGGTTAGAATCCTAGCATGTGCTCCTGCTG